AGGGAGCCCGATGTGGGACTCGATCCCGGGACTCCAGGATCATGACCTGAGCCGAAGGCAGTCGCTTAACCAACTGAGCCACCCAGGCGCCCTCTGACATTATTGTCCTTCTTGAAATACTCGCTCCCTTGGCTTCTGAGACCAACGCTCTTCCAAGTGTCCACTCTCTTCCTCTGCCGTCCCTGCAGTTCTGAGGGTCCGCTTCCCTCCCACTGTCCCCAAGCAATCTCGGCAGTGTTCTCAGCAGACCCGCTTAGATCTGCCGATTACCTGTCCTGTTTTCCTGGACATCTTGACCTGGATGTCCCTTGGGTACTTGAAATTGCACACGTCATGATCTGAACTTCTTTCCCTCAAACACTCCTTTTCCTTTGTTTTCCATCTCAGTTGGTGGCATTGTCATCTGCCCAGTCATGAACGTAGGCATCATTCTAGATTTTTCTCCAAACCCATCATACCCACCTTAGCCAAGGCTCTTGCCTCGCTCTCCTTTTCTTTTCCCTCTCTTCCCGAAATTGTGCACATAACATAAAATGTACCATCTTAACCATTTTTAAGTGTTCGGTGGTATCCATACCATATTGTTATTCAAAACATTCGTTTTATACAAATTCACGTTGGTCTGCAGCACATTTGTGCAACCATCCCCACCATCCACCTCCAGGTCTTTTTCCTTTCACAAAACTGAAACTCTGTCCCCATTAAACAATAACTCGCCTTTCCCCTCTTCCCCCTGCCCCTGGCCACCATCGTTCTCTCTGTCTCTATGAATGTGTCCACTCTGGGTGCCTCATACAAGTGGTCAGGCAGTATTTGTCCTTCTGTGACTGGTTTATGTCACTGAGCACTTTGTCTTCAAGGTTCCTCCGTGTTGTAGCAGGTGTCAGACTTCATGCCTTTTTAAGGCTGAATAGTAGTTCCTTTTCACACACTTATACACACACACCACACATGCACAGACACCCGCAGACACACACACACGCACACAACCCCCCCATTCATACGTCCCCCATCTCCATCCATCCATCCATCCTTGGGTTACTTCCACCTTTCAGCTATTTTGAATAGTGCTGCTGTGAACATGGGTGCAAATACATCTTCAGGATCCTCCTTTGAATTCTTTGGGATAAATATCCTGAAGTGCAATTGCTGGATCCTATGGGAATTCTATTTGTAATTTTTTTGAGGAGCCACCAGACTCTTCCACGGCTCCCCACCATGTTATTTTCCCACCAGCAGTGCACGAGTGTGCTCATTGCTCCATATCCTTGCCAACACTTGTTTCCCAGGCCTTTTTTAAGGTTTATTTTTTAGTAATCTCTATACCCAGGGTGGGGCTCAAATCCATGACCCTGAGATCAAGAGTCGCATGCTCCACCAATGGAGCCAACCAGCTGCACCCTGTTATTTTTTATAGTAGTTCTTCTCAACAGGTGTGAAGTGATATCTCCTTGTGTTTTGATCTGTACTTCTCAGTGATTCGTGGTGTGGAGCATCTTTTCATGTGCTTATTGGCCATTTGTAGGTCTTCTTTGGAGAATGTCTATTCAAGTCCTTTGCCCATTTTTGAATTGGTTGTTTGTGTTTTTCTTGTTGAGTTTTAGGGGTTCTCTGTAAATGGATATTAATCCCTTATCAGGTATGTGATTTGCAAATATTTCTTCCCACCGCTGTCCAAGATGGAAGACAGATCTGACCTGGTTGTCATCTTCATAACCTGGTTCCCTGACGTACTGCATGGGCAGTGATTCTTACCTGGGAGTTTGTGTATCAGAATGCCCCAGGAAGCTTTTCCATATACACATCCCGACCCTGAGTCTGGACATTCTGATGCAGTAGGTGTGGAGTAGGGCCTGGAAGTACAGAGCTGTGGTTCTCAACTTTGACAAGAGCCTAAAACTGATGACCAGAGATTCAAGTGTGATTGGTCTAGAATGTGGCCTGAATATTGGGCTTTCTTTAAAAACCAGTTGTGTTAATGTGTTGCCAACGCTGTGATCCCTGCTGTGGAGGTGGGCAAGCTCCAAGTCCGGTTTGGGTGGTTTTGATTCACACCCCGAGAGTCCCACTGGCTGGAAGTCTATCTCCAGAGGAGGGAGGTCCTTCATGATCTAGTCCTGGGTGGCAGATAGGTTTCAGTTTTCATGCCAACTCTAATTAGTTGGTAGTAGCAGCCTGGAGACCATGTTGAAAATTTTTCTAGGGGCGCCTGGGTGGCTCAGTCGGTGAAGCGTCTGCCTGCAGCTCAGGTCATGATTCCAGGGTCCTGGGATTGAGTCCCGCATCGGGCTCCCTGCTTGGTGGGAAACCTGCTTCTCTCTCTCTCCCTCCGCCACAGCTTGTGCACGCTCTCTCTCTTTCTCTCTCTCTCTCACTCACTCTCTCGCTCAAATAAATAAAATCTTAAAAAAAAAAAAAGACATTTGTTCTAAAGCTGAATATGTGCCCAGCCTGAGAGGGTTATGCTCAGCTAGCCCGTGTGCCCCAGGCAGGCAGGGTGGGGACAAGTGCGTCTGACCTTGTCTGCACCTTTAATACGTAAGTACCACCCTGTTCCCTGGTCCACTGTGATATTGCATCCCTTCTTGCCTTTCCACAATGGTTTCTCCTTTCTGGTGTCCACCCCACTTTTCTGTGTAGTACACTTCCATTAGAGTGTGTGTGTGTGTGTGTGTACACATTTCAAAACCCTGCCCCATCCTACCGAACAGATTTAATAATACCCTCCTTTGAACTAGTCTGGCATCTTTTAATTCATGTCTCACATTGTTATTAGATCTACATGTGTATATTTACACACATACATATTTGTATCCCCCACTAAGCTGTCAGCTCCAGAAAAACAGGAACCGTATTTTAGTGGTCTCATTAACAATTTTTTTTACCACAACTGAATTCTTCATTATCTTATTTCTGAATTTAGTGATTGTGAAAGATGCTCGGATAAGTCTTCTAGAATTGAATGTTTTGAATCAGGTTTTTATATCTCCAAGTGGAGCAATTCTGTCTGGCCTGTGTTTCCATTACTTGTTGGCTAGTTTGGTCTTGTCTCCTCAGATACCTGATTACCACAATCTACCACCACCACCATCCTAGCTTTTCCTCTGGAACTGCTGTTTTCACGGCTAAGGATCGTCTGTCCTGCACCCCTCTTCGTCACCACCTCCCTCCCCCAGCACCAACCAGGCATCAAAACTTGCATCTTCCAAGAATTGATTTTTGCCCCATGCTTAAAGGATGATAGGGTGTTCTGGCAGAATAGTGGTGTTTTCATCTATTGAAAATGTCTCATATTAAGTAGAGTAGTAGGTTTTACCATGTTCAGGGAGGAAATGACATATTTATTAAATAAGGCCTTTGCTTTCTTCTCAGATTGATGCCTCATCGTTTACTTTGACATTCTTTGGTCAAGGATACAGCCAAGGCTTTAGTCCTGAGAAGAACAAACCGAACATGAGAATTTGTACTCAGGTGAAAGGACCAGGTATTTCACATATGACTTAAGATTGCTGGGGAGTTTTTCATTGTCTTAAGGTATAAAGCAGTATTGCGAGGTTTTTTTCTAAAGCTTCATTGTTTTAGAAATAAACTTGCACAAATTATTTAATAATATATTCTGTTAAAGAAAGGATTGAAATTGTTATAATCTAATTTTATTATTACATCCATCGCCCTGGTTTTGTTTTTTAGGATAATTTAGTAATTCTGAGTAGCATATTTTAATATTAATAAGAAAAGGGGCTGGTTGACATTTATTCTCATACTCAAGGGTCACTTTAAAGCAGTGAAGTTATAACAAAGCTGTGGGCCAAGTGAACATGCTGACATTGTTTGTAAAATGTGTGTGCCTATGTGCATTTTTCTGGAGAGGGTAAAGGAGTTTTGATAGGTGGTTGAAAGGATCTGTCACCCAAAAAAGTTCAAGAACTTTTGGTATGAATTTTACAGAACTCTACAGAGACAATCCTACTTGTGAATTCTAGTATAATTACCAGTTTAATTACCATCACCTCTGATAGATCAGAGGGGATCTTGTTTTGCAGTTTCAATCAAGCCAGATGGCAAAGATATCTTTGTATCTTGCCTTCTTTTCAGATTCCCACCAGGCTTTTTAAGATAAATTCACCATATTTTTATTATTTGACAGAATTGTAAACACTGAAGTTCCACTTGCTTATAGACTTCTTTTAAAGCTACTTCTTAAAATTAGACTTTTAAAGTTACTCAGTTGTTTTTCTTAAAGAAATTGAATTTTTTTTTTAAGTGGAGCCTGGTGTGTGAATAGAGAAACAAGAAATGAGGATCATTGGCTTCAGTTGTTTCCCAGGGGCAGTGCAGAGGGCACAAGCCATGGACCCGCGGCAGCTCCGTGTGCTCCCAGCTCAGCCACTGCCTGACTTCGAGTCTGTGCCTCAGTGTCCTCCCCTGTAAAATGGGGATTAAAAAATAGGACTAACTTCATGTCATTGCTGGGAGAATTAAATGAGGTTAATAAAATTAAAGCACTTACTAACAGATCCTAACTTAGTAAGTACTATATGAATATTATTAGTTTTAAGTGAACAGAGTATTTATTGAGAAAATTCTATATACCTAGAGTTAGATATCAAACCGACCATTTGGTTTTTGGGTGTTGTCGAATGCACACTTCATTAATAGTTTTCTTTGATCACCTGTCTTCTACAGAGGCTGGCTATGTGGCCACCTCCATAGCCATGGTCCAGGCAGCCATGACTCTTCTAAATGATATCTCTGATCTTCCGAAGACGTGAGTCTGGTTTTCTTCTAATTCGAAGATGTCGTTTTCATCTATATTTTAGCTTATTTTGATTCAGTTTTCAGACATTGGGTCTGCACATAAGCAATTACAGTACCTCTGATCCAAAGAGAAAGGTAAATTAAAATTGTGAGGAGGGCAGTTTCTTACTGGCCTCTGAGAACAATGCACAGATAAATAAGAGACAGAGAAGTTTGAGCGTTATGTAGGCTGACTTTCGTTCCTTGTAAAAGTAGTGCAGGGCCGGAGTAAGCTACTCAGAAAAGGTCCCTGTTGTTAAATAGTATTATCAGGAGCCTCTAGTCAGTAATGATGACACCCAGCCAGCAGTGGGAAGCTGTGATACCAAGTGTGAACTGATGCATGGCATCTCAGCTAGAGGATTATCAAGTGGACTCAGTTACTGGAGCATTTAGCTGTTACTGTAAAAGTAGGCCAACTTTACAGATGAGTCCTAGGCCTGCAGGCTTAGAAACAAATAAATATAGACATGACCTGAAACAATATTAAGTAACAAACATAAAAATGGTATAAAGTGAAGCCTAATTAAATTTTTCCAAATAATTCTACAGTTGACCCCCTGCGTAGTCGAAAACCCATGTGTAATGTTTAACTCCCCCCACATTTAAATAATAGCTTACTGTTGACATATATATTATATACTATATTCTTATATAAAGTAAGCTAAAGAAAAGAAAATGTTAAATCATAAGAGAAAATACATTTATAGTACTGTAAAAAAATCACATATAAGTGGACCCATGCAGTTCAAACCCATGCTGTTCGAGTCAACTGTATACCCTTTGAAAATACTTAGCATTTTATAAATGTTAGTCAATAGATTTAAAGAAACTTCTTTTTCATCCACTTTGTCTTATTTATGCTTTCATATAATTTATTGCCTAAATTTATTTCACTCAGGTCCTTTTTTGTTCTCCTGAGTCTGAGGACTGTCTCTACCGACAGCAGCAGCCCCTTAGGTTGATGACCCTCAGTCGAACACTCAGCAGTCCATGGAGACAGTCTCCCTGGGAGCTGAGCCCTTCTAGATGGGTTTGCTGGGTGCTAGTTTCTTCCTGGCTTATAGCTCCTTTGCTCATTTGGCTTATTTTAAGAAAGGAACCCAAAGTAGTCCATGATGCAATGAAGGTTTTCATGAGTTCTCTGCATGGCTTGATGGCTAGTCCTCCAGCAAATCACACTCCCAGAGGAGAGGGCTGGAGCTTGCTTTGTGCACGGTTTGACCTTGTTCTCGTCTTACAGGGGCGGGGTCTTCACCCCTGGAGCAGCCTTCTCCAGAACAAAGTTGATTGACAGACTCAACCAACGCGGCATTGAATTTAGTGTCATTAGCAGCTCTGAAGTCTAAACAGTTGAAGAATTACCTGAAGGCATAAAATGCATGAATTAACGGCTTTTTTAAATTTTAAATTTTAAATTCTTCTATATCCTGACTATATGTTAAAGATTGTCAAATATAAAATATGTACACATTAAAAGCAGGAAATTGTACTAGCTTACCCTAAATTTCAAATCTTAGCTGATTTCGTGATTTTATTGCTCGTGAGAGAGAACTAATCTTTGACTTTTTCACTGAAGAATTCATGGTCAATTTTTAAACATGAGCTGGCAGATCAGAGGCTGGGGTGGGGGTCTCCCTCTGTGCTGCTGACAGGCCCCAGATGAGGTGCTCAGGCTGGTGGTCTTGGGAGGCGGTAACCGCCACTCTCCTTTTGCCGTGGTGTTGAACGGGACCTCACCTTCTAAGTTTCTCTACATACTCTTCGGGCCTTTGCCAAATGAAACTGCATTTTTTGCTATTTTAGCCTAGTTTTTCACCCATAGACACTGATTTTTTGACTATTACCTAAGTTGAATAATAAAGGGTTGTCACTTGAACAGTGGTTTTGTGTTTGGACCTGCATAGGTATTTGAGTTGGAGTCTGGCCCGGGTATTGCTAGAATTGGGCCTGTCATTTCTTTTCTCTGGTTCTGTACCTGAGATTGGTTTTAAAGATCTAGCTGGCCAGTTTCTATTGATTTTCACTGCCTGACCAGAATTTTTCTCTAATTTACTTTTTGTATTTTAACTAGGTTTTCCTAGAAAACAGTCTGGTGATTTCTGCTAAATAACAGGTCCCAAACAGGTCCCCAAAAACACAAATTTTTTGTATTTTAACTAGGTTTTCCTAGAAAACTAGGTTTTCCACTGAAGCCCTAAAATAAGGCAAAGGACTTTTCCTTTTGTAATAAGCATATGATAAACACATACATAGTCTTCTGTGCCATTCATTACATAAAGAGGTTGGCCACTGCCTTTATGAAATTTCTACTCTTCAGTGAGAAGCGTGACGTAGATAGAAACCTTATTCGTGTGGAGGGACCCTTCTGTGCTGCCTGTACTGAGGGGGGATCTAACTTGAAGAGGGAGGTTCGTGGTGGTGGTGGTGGGGGGGTCTCGTCCATCCTCTGCCCGGCCTGGTTGGGAACTAGGCTCAGCTGTGCCCTCATTGGTGGGCACTTAGAAAAGTTCTTATCCTCTTTAAAATCAGGAAGGTGTACGGGAGCAGCAGATCTCACGACTAGCCACATGGCAGAATCCTAACGCAACAGTGGGCTCCCCAGTGGGCCCCCGTGGCCTGCAGGAGTCAGTGGTTTAGATGTGCATTTGGGAGCCACTTGGGTGAAGCTGCATGCTGTGTCAGTGTTCTTTGCAGCTTGGCGATTTCTGCCGTGTCCGGCTCTATAAAGTGGACACTGATGTGTATACAACCTGTGTACAAGTGTATCTCCTCCAGATTTTCGTTGTAACCCCCCAAGGCTCCTCTAGTTGGAAGTACATTCCTTCTGCAGTTATTTCTGCAAATTATTAGAGAACTTTGAGGCTCAGTCCAAGGGGTAGAAGCCTTTCCTGCTTCCTGGGGCCTCACTGCTGGTCTGCCTCACTGACAGGCTCTCAGGGACTCCGTGAGGCTTGGCAGATCCCGGACCCCCGCCGTCCCCATGCGGAGCTCCACACTCGGGCTGCAAGCTTTCAGGTTATTTTTTAGCTGATGTGTGTCCTAGTCCCGAGCCTGAGCTGCAGGGAAAACCCAAGCCTCCCTGATAAGCCCTTGGGACCTGTTATTTAGCAGAAATCACCAGATTCCCCGCCTTCCTAGGGAGACTCGCTAGCCCGCCCTGCCAGTGGAGTTTCCGTGTCCTGTTTGATCTCCCTAACTTTACTCTTTAGGGAGCAAGGACTGGGCTTGTTGTCTCTGTTTCCTCCTTCCTGGTTCTTATGCAAATCAGCCCAGCGCCACACACGCCCCGCCCCCCAGGGCAGTTCTGCCGCAGGAACACCATCCCCTGAGTCAGCCCACCGCTCACTCACAGAGGCCAGGGCAGGCCTTGTTCATTTATCCTTTAAAGCCTCAACATGGAGGTAACTGTGCCATACTCATGGGACTGTAACAAAGGACATGTGAGCTGCCATGTTGTGCTCGCGGAACCTCGGTATTAGTACTCCTGCCGTCCCTATCAGGGGCTCTCTGCAGCCTTTCCCAGAGCGCCTGGTGCTCGGTGCTCGTTGGCCCCGCGGAGCCCGGGCAGGCAGCTGTGTGTGGAACCAAGATCACCTGGGCCTGACTGACACCAGCAGACCGGTGCGGTGCGCGGGACAGTTTGCAGATAAACTCGCGGAGACAGAATATCAACTCTGTCCCGAGCAAGGATACAAAATGAGAGGCTTGAAATAACCATTTGTCTCCAGGTCTGACAGCAAGAAATGTATCAAAACAGCTTTATTTGAACTTTCAGACTGTTTACTGTAAAGATACCGATGCTTCTCAATTGCTTCAGTGTGCCAGGCACTGTTCTAAGTGCTTTATATTCCTTTATAAACTTTTAAAAGATTTTATTTATTTGAAAGAGAGCAAGTCAGAGTGAGAGAGCATGAGCAGGGGAAGGGCAGAGGGAGAGGAAGAAGCAGGCCTCCCCCTGAGCAGGGAGCCCGATGTGGGGCTCGATCCCAGGACCCCGAGATCATGACCTGAGCCGAAGGCAGACGCTTAACCAACTGAGCCACCCAGGCGCCCCTGTATTTCTTTATGTTCGTTAACCGTCTGCAATTAGTACTGTTGTCATTCCCCTATAATAAGGAACCAGAGGCTTAGTTGTCGAGGGGAAGGCACTTCCCTCAAACTGCAGTTGGGTAGTGACCGATTAAACAGGATTTAGCCCGAGACAGTCCAGTCCCAGCTCATCTTCACCCTGGATGTGGATTCATTTTTACATGTTTTGAAATCAAACTCAAGGACAGAAACAGTACGAGAAATGGATTGGGTACTTTGAGTGCACAGCTCAGCTGAGAGCCAAGTTCATCAAGCTCGGGGGCTGCACAAGCCAGCTTCTCCCACAGCTCAGGTGTTTTCGGTCGGCGAGCCCACACTATCCAGGATGCAGCGAACACGCTCTCTTTTCTTTCACTATACGAGCAACATCGCTTTTCAGTCTCCACAAGCTGGATTCGAGCAGCTCCCCAAAGTCCTTTAACCTCAGTGACTGTTGGTGTACAAACGGCCGAAACAATCCATCATCTTCCTGAAAATGAAAAAGGACAGTCGCCTCACGTGATTAGAGTGAAAATGTGTGCGGGTGTGAGTGGGGTGCCCAGGAAATTCTCCCGGCGCTGCAGCTGAGAGCTGCTGGTGGAGGTGGTGAGTCACTCAGCCTCTAGAAGATGCTGCTAATAGGGAGACATGTGGAGCTGATGAAAGTTTCTCAGGTTGGAATCATCAACATTCCTCCAATACTGGAGAAGTTCTGAGGTCTGCCAAGGACCCTGTGGGGCTGGGGGTTCTCCCGTGGGTGGGGGAGGGTGGGCTGCCATGTCCCCCCGCCCAGGGAAGCAGGTGCCCGAGAAGAGGCTGCCGGGGTGCGGGCGGGCTGGAGGGTGGCAGTGCTGAGATGGGAGGGGGCAGCGGGCGCCCAGCCCATCCCCGCGGGGCCTTTCGGTTTCTGTCTCCTGGATCACTCATGAAATGGATGCTCAGGTACCTTAGCCATTTTCTCCAATGTGTTTTCTGACCACCTCATTCTCTTAAAGGTATTTGTTTATATATTCTGAATACTATTTGATGAGAAATAATACAAACAGGCTGTGGCTTATTTTTAGCTTTTCACCTAAAAGCTTTTCTTTCTTGTTATTGTGAGATAAACACACAAACAAGTACCTGTAATGTGTTAGAGTGAATTCACCTACTCCAGAAAGAGCTCTGCCCCTCAAGCCCCTCCTGGTCGCACCCCCTACTCTCCCCCCAGGCACAACTGCTAGCCTGACTCGCTACCTGCAGTGCACCCCTAAACAGTCTATTTTGCCTGTTTCTTGATCATTTATGGAATCCTACTGGGTGGTACCTTTCATGACTTGCAGGTCAGCATGGTCGGGGCTGAGACTCCCCGTGTTGTATGTTTGCTTTCACAGCAGGATGGAGTTCCATGGTATGGAGGGTGCGGTACTTTACCTGTCTTCGCTGGGTGTGCATTGGGACGTTTCCAGTTTGGGGCTACTTTGGGGGTGGTGGTAAGAACAGCCAGTGCGCATAGGTGTGGGTGTCTGCAGAGTTTTTCAGCCGGTTCCTCATTGAACCACAGACCAGGAAATGATCTGCGTGACTGTTTTCTCAATTCTCTCAAGAATGGTGCATAACGAGTACCATTCTGGACGCGAAAGAGAGAAATGAATTCATTCCATACATTGAATGCCTCGCGAGATGGTTCTCAAACTTCAGTTTAAGGCAGAGTCACCTGGAGGGCTGGTGAAAGCACAGACTTCGGGGCTGCACATCAGGGGTGTGGCTTAGGAGGGCTGGCAGGGGCCCTGGGTTTGTATTTCTGAGACCCCGATGGTTCGGGAGCTGTTGGCCGGGGACCACACTTTGAGAACCTCTGCTTCAGGGCACTGGGGCTGAATCCTCTGCAGGACCAGCAGACTCTGGAGGAGAGTGGCAGGCTTCTGGGGTAGGTGCAGCTTCAACTTTTATAGGGTAAATGACAAAAAAGTGTTTTAAGTGGTCGTTCCAATTTCCATTCTTTCCAGACCATCGCCACAACTCGGGGTTTTGAGACTTCTAAATTTTGCCAGTACGGTTGGGTTTATGGTACTGTTTCATTGTGGTTTCAGGTAGTGTTTTCCAAACTTCTAATGATGTTAAGCACTTTTCCGTATATTTATAGGTTTTTTTGTTTCTTTTGTGAAGTTCCTGTTTCGGTTTTTTGATCCCTTTTTTTTTAAATTCTTGTTTCCGCTGGGCTGTTTCTCTTTTTGATTTGTGTAGTTCCCTACTTTGGATATTAGTTTGCTATATGTTAAATGTGTTGTAAATAACCCTTCCGAACTTCTTTTGGCTTTATTTGGGTATCTGGGTCAAAGTTTACCATTTTAATGTAGGTGCGTCCATCAGTGTTTTTCTTGACAGCGGCTGCTTTCCTGTCCTGTCCCACTGTGAGCTCATGGGTGTGTCCAGGCTCTTTCCTTCTGTGGTTGGGTCCTTGGTTGTCGACTGAAAGTGATTTCTGGGTATCGTCTTAGGTGAGACTCCAGTTTCGTTTTTCCTTTTGTGTATGTATTCTAGCACCGTTTGTTGAAAAATCCATCCTCACCACATCCACTGCGGCTCCTCATCAGTCACCTATCAAGTCTCTAGTCCTGAGTGAATCTATTTCTGGGCCTCTGTCCTTTTCATTTGGTTACTTTATGTGTATCGGGGCTGATGTGTTACCATCTGGTACAGTAGCATTAAAACAGACCTTGGTGTTAGGTGGCCAATCTTCCCATGCTGTTTTGGGGTCTTGGTCTTGGCCATTCTTTGCTTTTGCGATTCCATCTAAATTACAGAATCATCTTGTCAGACCCCATTCCATTTGATTGGGATTATACGGAATCTCAGGGAGACGTGACAGATTTGCAAGAGCAAATCTTCCCAACCATGCAGACGTGGCATGTTTCGTCCTTTATTTAGATCTTCCTTAACATCTCTCAAGCGAGTTTTAAAATGCTCTCCATAGAAGTCCATAGTTTTATGGGCTTTTTAAACATAGTTTTATGTTAGTTGTAGGCCTGAGTACTTTATATATTTGACACAATTATAAATGGCATCTCTTATACAAGGCAGTTCTGGTTGATGCTGTTATATTCAAATGCAGTTAATTTTTAAATACTGATTTTCTTTCCAGCAACTTTACAATTCTATTAGTTAATTTCTAGATTCTTCTGGATTTTTAATTTACATAAACATATCATCTGGGAATAAAAACAGAGGCAGCCTGGGGTAGTAGGAAGGAATATAGACTGTGAAGTGCCCCTTGCTGGGTTTGGAGGTTGGGCCTGCTACTTAACTAGTCGTGTATCCTTACACAAGTTACTTAACCCTTCTTGTGCCTGAGACCCCTGAACTGTAAAATAAGGCTAATCCTAGTTCCTACTGCATCAAGTTGTTGTAGAATTGAGGTAGTAACTGTAAAACACTTAGTAAATAATGTATAAATATGTGCTATTGTTCCTATGACTTTTTTTCCCCTTTTCAATCTTTCTACCTTGTATTTCTTGCCTTGTGGCACTGGCTAGAGCCTCAGGTACAGTGGGAAACAGAAGTAAATTTTGCTAGCATCTTGGACTTCTTCCTGATGTAAAAGGGAGAGCATTCAGCGATTCGCCACTCAGCCTCATGCTTGCTCTGTGTTTAAGATGGCCTTCATCAAATTAAGGAATGCACATTTTATTCCTAATATGCTAAGAGTTTTTATCATGGTAAGATGCTGAATTTTATCATATGCTTTTTCTGAATCTCTTGAAGTAATCATGATTTTTCTCCTAAAGTATCTTATTTGGTTTATAACAATAAACCCAATTTGCATTTCGGGGATACTCTGTTAATCACAAAGTCAATGAATGCCAATACCTGGAAGCCAGATGTCCCACTGGAATAAAAAAGCAAGAGCAAAGATGGCTGCCCAAGAAAGCAGGGGACACATGGTTCAGGCCCCCAACCCTGCTTTTGCTGAAACACACACACCCCTCCCTAAGCTCAAGCAATGCCATTCCCTCAAATGCCTGAATTTAATGGAGAAAGATTGCGTTTGCTCCCAGGATTCTGGTTACTCACAGGAGGTTTATAATGTCTCAGTCTGAGAAACTGTCCTCTTGCCGCATTCAGGCTTTGGTAGAAGACCTTCAGAGCTTTGGCCAACTCTCTGTCAGAGCTGGCTCGCTGAGCGGACGTGTGATGAATCTCTCCGGCTGCGGGGAGTTGTGCTGGCGTCTGAGTGACCTTCCCGCTATCTGAAGGCTTCTTTGCTGAGGTAGCGGGAAAAGATAATATTTATTTAATCATCTGTTCCTCCAAGTGTCTGGGTATTTACTTTGGTGGCATTCCACCAGCAGCATTTATCAAACACCGATGGAGACTCCTCCAGAGAACTCTTACCCGGCAGAAGGAAAAAAAAATTCTGCATTTTTTAATGAAACAAGATCTAGGCCAACTCATTAAAAAGTAAATTTCTTAGAAATACAAACACACCTCTCAGATGTGGGAGTTTAGAAAGTAAACAACCAAGACTTGGGTTGCCTCTCACCTTGTTGAGCAGAACCAGCTTTCTCAAGTGAGTGTTTGAGCAGCACATTTTCCTCTCTCAAGGCTCTGTTAACGTTTCTGAGCAGTTCCATCTCCTGTTCTAACTTGAGCAACTTCATATAAAGTTCTGATATCTGATTTGAGGTGGTCTACAAAAAACATGTCCGTTTAGCCTTTTGCTGGATTTTTTGTGTACCCTTTGGGACGGGCAATTTTTATTACCAGGGGACAACTAGATGGGGGTGGTGGTTGGTGAGCAGGGTTTAAGCCCCTCAAACACAGGAGTAAATCAAGAAAACACTTGTCAAGTGGAAGGAACACTGATCCCTAAGAGGCTATCACCTGGGATTTCATCATCTGCCATGTCTATTTGCCACATAAATGTGCACACCTGGCCTGTATCCATCACTGGGGAAATTTTCTTGGTGTCCACCATGATGTGGCCTTCACTTGTGACCATGGGGTCCGGCTGAGAGCAGCTCAGTTGGGCACAGCCTTCTGCAATGTTGGTGGGCAGACACCATCAAGGAAAGAAACCTCTGCTGTCTGGCCCCAGTGTCGTATGAAGAGATTTAAACCATATAATCCCCCATGGACTAGAGCCTAGGGACCCAGGAGAAGATGACTCTTGGCTGTTAAGACCCTGACCCCCTCCGTCCCTCCGTCCCTCCCTTGGCAGCCCTAGATACGCTGACATGATATCTGATGGAAGAAGGCATCATGCCAAAGAGGAAGTAAACAGGGTACCTTGAAGACCCCATAAATCAACAATGAGAGCATTTGTTTGTAAATAATTCAGAAACTCCTGAGATGCATTTAAAGCTGTAAATTGGACAGTTTCTTCTATTTGGGGATTCACAATTTTCCATACAGGCTTGGTATAGAAAGTGCTTGAAAGATCATAAATTCTGTACCTGAGAAAAGAACAGAAAACACGATTTAAAACCAGAAGGGACACATTTATAAAGAAAAGGATCAGATGAGCCCAAGAACAATGGCCTGCATTGGTCATTCGATACAGGGTGACCTGTAATTGCTTCTCGCGAGTGCTACCCCCAACGTTTCAGCTACTTACTGTGAGAAGCATCACTATATGGAGAGTATTACATGTCTAACAAAAAGGAAAATGAAATGGAAGGAAATGGATAAACACTTTGATAAATACTTTCTACTTCAATAATCAAAAAGTGTTAATTTTCCATGTGAGGTGGTGGTTTGGTTTTTGTCCTTTAAACCTTCCCTTTATCGCTTAAAATCTTTTTAGCCTAATTAAGCCTATCTAGTGCTTTCACCATATTGTGATATAGTCCTTTTGTTTCCAACTCAAAAAAACCCCAAACTATTCCATGTAGATAATACAGCTTTACTGGGTATTCTATCAGATAATTAAAATCTCTTCTGCTTCACTCAGCACACATGGCTTACAGTCCAGCAACCTAGAAGTAGGTGGGGCTTCCATTAAACAGACGGGGAAATACTCATGTTGGGGTTGAGCAAGCAGAGAAACTTAAGAAAATTTCATGATACACTCATTTTTAAACTTAAGGAAAGACTCCCTCCCACCAGGGCCCACAAGGGGGGGTGGTGTATGCACACAGCTCCATGGGGCAGGCTGGTACCCCATCTGAATGCCCCGCTCTGCGCCTTCCTTGAGCCACTTGATGCCAAAGCACTGCACGAGGCCAATCTGGAAATCCATCCTCTTGCCCAGCAACTCTGAAGGGTCAAATACCACATCCTCCTCACCACATGCTCTGCAAACAGAGAAAGAGAACATGGACCACAGGTGTTAGCCGGGACCGAAGCAAGTTAGGATTGTGTCATCAAAGGGGATCATTGAGACTCCTCAAGAGATGGCCAACTTCTCTGAAGAAAAGACAGGGGATGTTACCAGCTGTGGAATTCATTCATTCAAGAGACATTCAAGGAGCTCACAATCTTCTTGAGGAGGAGACAGCAATATAACCGCTTCATGCGATAATTGAGCTAGCGGTGGAGACCTAGGTAGGTTCCCAGGGGGGAGAGGGGCTCCTACCCAGGGAGAGCCAGCTGGCTGCCCAGACATGGCCTCCTCAAGGTGCCATTTTCCTTGGTGAAATCTTCACAGTCCAGAGTCAACCCCAAGCCTACAAGTTTGCAAACCAATTTGGACCACTTTCCAATGTGTCTCTCACATCAACTGTGATGTGTTTCTCACATCAACTCCCATCAAGCTCACAAAGACCAAAGCCTAGAAACTAAAATGCTGCCTTACTAACTTGCCATGAGAGATCAACCATCCAGTAGCCCAGAAGCCCGAGGTGGCCCAGTGACCGGAAACTTTCGTCGAGTCCCAACAAAGACAGTGAGTTGATGGTCAGCTTGGTCCCTGGGTCACAGGACCTTGCAGTCCTCTTGCCCCCTTCCTGAGCCTGTTACCTCTTCAGAAAGACAAAAAGGTTGCTGTGGGTACCCAAGGGGACTGAGCCCTCAGGCCAGAGCCCCTGCCTGCCTGCCTCTTTGCTTAGGATTGTTAAGAGACTTGGGCTTTTGTGTAAACTGCCTGAACTGCCTACAGCCTGAAGAGAGAACAGAGGAGGCTCCCTAGAAGGAGGGTAAGAGGCAACACAACAGAGTTAAAGCAAAGCTCATTTAGTCATGATTTGGCCTCATCAAATTGGAACCTGATTCAACCTTACTTCCCTAAGAAAAAAGACACTAAAAGACTTTTTTCTTTTCTTGTCTGCCTCGAGTACAGTGAGGCACAGCCCTGTCCTCCAAGTGTCCCTGCGAATGTGGCCGTGGCAAATGCTATGTGGACAGAGCACAACACAAGTTCCAGAGAGTGTGGGCTTTTTCAAGACCTTTAGGCTAAGGAGCTAAGATCATGGGAACCCAGATCATCAGTCCGCTGCATCCCTCCTTGCGGAGAGCAGACTTCGGGCCCTGTGACAGGTCAGCGAGGCTCTGTGGGACCAGCAGGTGTGACCCTGGGCACAGACTCCCTGGCTGGAAGCTTTTGCACAGGAACTCCTGAAAAGTGAGTGCGGCTAGCCTTTCCAGTGTAGACAACCTCCATCTCCTCCCGTGGCCCTGGCCAGCTCCTGAATTGTCTGGGACGTGACTCTGATGGTCACATGAGCAGCCCGTGGGTCCTGTCTCCTCCCAGTGGCATTCACGGTTCGCAGTCTGAGGCGAACGTTTGCAAGACCAGCCACCAAAAACGTGCCGAGTGTGTCTCTCCACATTGCCGCTCTGCACCAGGCTGTTCTTCGAGCCTTCAGAACCAGACCTACAGAGCATTCCCAGAATGACCAACCGCCAACATTTCAGGTGGGCTCCTGGGGAAGGAGTACCTTCTTTCGAGGAAAGGTCACTGATACTTTTAAAAGGTGAAATGGACAGGCTTGAAGATGACAGATCAGTAAGATTAGCCTCTGAGAAGAAAGAAAAATAGAAACAAAATCACCATAAATTCTGTTAGCACCCAGCCCCTTACAAGGGAGCCCAGTGTGGTTTCTACAGAAGCCAGCCAGTGCTGTCCCCCAGGATACGCTTAACCCTAAGATGCAAAAACACGGCTTTGCCTTCTATTTCTGGCCAGGGCAGCCTGTGTGATTCAGGTAACCTTCCTGCTAATAATAGAAGAGGCTGAATAAAGTGTTTTCAAATCACCTTAAACCATAATAAACAATAAGCCTTGGAACACAGAATCACATGAAAAAACAGTTTTTAAAAACTACAGATCTCCTTGAAACAAGGTCTGACAAGACAGTAGGAAACTGCCAACCCCAACTCGGGGGGCATGCCTGGCCCCAGAGAGGCATGTGGAACACTGGATCACCAAAGCTTCTCTGTCCTCATGGCACCTTCTAGAAAACACAAGAAACAAAAGCATAATCACACACACATTGAGGATTCAGCTCCGAAGGCCTCACAGAAGTCCAGGTTGACTCCCAGGGTGGGTGTCTCAGACCAAGACCCCCGAGAGCTGCCCTGGGGGTGTGCGGTGAGCCGGCATCAAGCCTGCTGCTCTGGACTGAATGTTAGGTCCCCCCAAATCCATACGTTGGAACCTAACCCCTGATGTGATGGGATGAGGAAGCAGAGCATATGCGAAGTGACCAGCTCATGAGGGCGGAGCCCTCATGAATGGAGTTAGCGCCCTTACGAAGGCAGCCCCAGAACCCTCCCAGGGCCCTAACATCATGCGAGGACCCAGCGAGAAGATGTCTGCTCTGACCCATGAAGCCATCCCTCACTGGATAGCAAATCTGCCCATGCCACGATTTTGGGCTTCCAGCCTCCAGAGCTGTGAGAGATAAAGCTTTGTTGCTCGAGCCTCCCCGGCGGTGAGCGACTTTGCTACAGTGACGTGAAGGGATGGAACATGTCTCCCCTCTCTCCTCACCCCAGGAGATTCAGAGGAGGCCACTGTGGCGCTGGTCAGATGAAGAGACTGAAAAGAACAGGAACATGTCTCAGAAGTTCGGGGTGGAGACTGGCCTGGCTCAGGTTTGCTCCCTGGGCCGTCCCAGCCTGGGGGCCCGTTAAACTCGAGCTGTGACCTTGTGACCCCAGCACCTGGCAGAAAACACACACACAGGCCCCTATCTTTCCCTGTGTGTCGCATTTCACAATTTTAAGAAGATTTTACACAGCGGGCTTGACCCAGAAGATTTCGACAACTTTGGGGGAACGAGCGGAAGTGTGAAACCCAGAGAAGGAACAGCTCGTTGCTCGGTAGAGCAGATCATCTAGTGACGGATGGTCCCCTTCGCCAGCGGCACGTTTGCCAACTCCGGCCGTGGATTTGGGAGGGAGCAGCCCACCCGGAGGCCCCCAGAGAATTCGGGGCTCGTCTCAGAAGATGGGCTAAGGAGAGTGTGTCGGGCTGGAGCCAGAGGTCCGGGGCATGCTCCGAAGGCAAAAATACATAAGGGACACCCAAAGAGCGCCCCAGTCTTTTCTGTTGGGCAGAGGGAAAGGCAAGGGGTCTTAGGTACCTGAAGGGGACCCTCCTGCCAGTGAGCAAAGGCAAACATAGGAATGGATCAGCCACGGCCTTTTCTGGAATCTTAATAGGAGTGCAGATTTTCTCATTGCTCCAGACGGGCTCGTCTCTCTGTCTCTGTCTTGCTTGCACACAGACACCACCATCAGTTGGATAAACTCTCAGGCTCCCTTCTGGTACTCAAGCCTTTAAGTCATGTTAAAAATAGGGCACCTGGGTGGCTCAGTTGGTTAAGCATCTGCCTTCGGCTCAGGTCATGATCCCAGGGTCCTGGGATCGAGTCCCGTATCGGGCTCCCTGCTCCGCGGGAAGCATGCTTCTCCCTCTCCTGCTCATGCTCTTTCTCTCTCAAATAAATAAATAAAAAGAGAAAAAAAAAACCAAAACAAAGTATTCAGTGCTGCTGATCGGGACCATTCCCAGGACTTGGTGCCGTGTGGGAGAGAGGCCCAGGAGGGAAACACAGAGGAGGGGTCTTCTGTCCCCAGACACTGTCCACAGAGTCCCAGCTCACACTCAGAACACATGGTGTCCTTTCACTGGGTCTCCACAGGCTGTAGGGGTGAACTGAACTCTGTCCCTGGGAGAGTGCCTCAGAAACCCCGTCCCCAGAGGCGTCCTCACCTCGTGAGTCCTTTGGTGGGTCACTTTCACCATGACCTCTTTCTGTAGGTCGTAGCCCCTAGAGTCTGACGACGCTAAATTCTTCACCTTCAGTTCCATTCTGAGTCCCTGGCAAGAGAAACACTTTATCCTAAGTCACCCTGCCTGTCTTTCCCTTTCTCTGACACTCCCAAAACGTGTAAGTCTCTTGCAAGTTTCCTGAGGATTGGGATCCTGTATCCAGGGGGCCAACCCCCGCTCAGGTCCTCTCTGTGGCCTAGAAGGCTTTGGGGTGCTGGGCCCAGAGAAACCCCACTGGAGGGCAATCTGGGATGGGGTGGTTTGGCAGGCAAGCATTGGTCTGGGGCCCTGGGGTCTGGGGCCCTGGTGGCCGTGGCGGCCTCAGTGGCCAGAGGTGGAAGGAATGGTGCTAGCGGCTGGGACTGGTGAGTTCTGGGTGTTGACCTGGGTTCTGTCACTGGCTCACGGTGGGGTCCCGGGTCCTGACCTCTCCAGGCCCCGATGTCCCTGTCCATACCACGGAGACAGCTGGAGCAGTGGCGTGAGGGGCCGTGGACCTTGTTCCCCGGGGCCTTTCCTGGACCTGGCACTGTACCGTCTCCTAGCTCTTACCTTCTCCAGCTCTTCGCCCATCTGATTCGCTTCCGCCACCAGCGGCATCAGTTTGACATAGTCCTGGAACACGGCCAGCACGCTGGGGTCTGCGTTCCCCTCCCCGTGGCCTGCGGCCCCTAGGAAGATAGCACAGTGCTCCTGAGCGCTGGCCACCTGTTCTGGGACACTTGTCAGCCACAAGGGAATTCATATGCTCGCTCATTCATTTGATTGTTCATCAAATGTCTGCATTTAAAAATTATAAGCATGTAATTAAAAAAACAAAACAAAAAAAACCCAGGGGTGTCTGTGTGGCTCAGTGGGCTAAGCATCTGCCTTCGGCTCAGGTCATGATCCTGGAGTCCCGGGATCGAGTCCCGCGTGGGGCTCCCTGCTCAGCGGGGAGCCTGCCTCTCCCCCTCCCTCTGCCCCCCCCACTCATGCACGTGCTCTCTCTCTCTCTCTCTCAAATAAGTGAAATCTTGAAAAAAAAACCCCAAACCAAGTAAGTGTGGAGAAAAACCACCACCCGACTCTCTCTTAAATAGCTACTCATCTCAACCCATGAATCTCGGCAGTGTCACGACAGGAGGATCCCTGCCTCTGGTTCCCATTTGTGGTCTCAGGGTCCTTGATCAAAGCAGCTGCAGATTGTCCCGGGAGGAGGGTGGGGAGCATAAAGCATGGTTGGCTGCATGAAGGTCTGGGGCTTCCTCTTGAAAAGCAGGTAACCTGTTCTTACTTCTGTCCCTTGGGCAGTTTGCAGCTGGGGGTCCTGGAGATGGTGGGACGGACAGTCCCCCTGCCAGACCCAGGCTGGCGCTGCCTTGTGTCAGGGACTCTCAACTCTAGGGATTTCCTGCCCACGGGTCCACACCGTGCCCTGTGGCCCTGAGGTCTGGCTCCGCAGAACTGTCCACTACTGCCTTGTTGAGGACCCGCAGTCTTCACAGATGCCGAGTGCTTTCAACCAAGGGTCATGCGCTTGTTGCACCTCGTTGCGCCACTAGCCCTGGGCGGGGGAAGAAGGTGTGCAGGAGTAAATGGAGTATGTAGGCTTGGTGCTCCAGAGCCTTGTTTGTTTGGGTCAGGAACTGCAGCAGAAAAGGAGTAAGGAGGTGAATTTCGCATCCGTTTATTTTGCTGAAATTCGGAGGAAAAAACTGGTATAGGGAAAAGGGAGAGACTGTTTTGCATGCGTGTGGGTGCATCCCAGTGCCCTCCACTCATGGTTTTCAGGCAAGTTCAGGCAAGCTAGTGTTCTCCAGGAAAGGGCTGGCCCTGGCACGTATGAGCCGCTCCTCCACCCAGGGGCCCAGCACAGCACAAAGCTTTCCGTGGAGTGCCAGTTCGCCCATACCCCAGGAGAGCCCTGAGCAAAGCCACCCAGGCCTGGGTGTGGGAGACGGGGAAGGTGCTCCGGAGCCTCCCTGATGCAAGGAAGGGCAGTGTCAGAGCTTTGAATGCTCTTGACTCTGAGGAATCCCAGATTATTGCTGGGGGGTGGAAGGCAGGTTGAGAGCAGAAGGAATATCTTAGACTCAGAAACCCAAGGCTGGATTTTCTCTAGTCCAGGGCCTGGACACTGTCCATCACCATCTCTCCAACCATCTGTCCAGCCTCACACTGGGTCTCTCTAGTTATTGGGTCACAGCTTCTGTAGGCTCACAAGGCCGCTGGGTGGGGCTAGGAGGTGAGTGGGGAGCTCACATCCCAGTCTGCCCTCGCCTGGGAGGGACCTGATGTCCGGGGCATGACGCTCCTGGGGTGGCTGTGTTCCCAGACAGAGCAGGGAGGTGCCCGCATTTGGGCCCTTGGCCACACACATGCATAACTAAGCTTCTGTGTGGGGACTGATTCAATTTATCTCATTCATCATTCATACAACAAATACTCACTGAGGGCCCTCTGGAGATTAGGGAGTGAACATACTCCTGTCAGCTCTGTAAAGCAGGGAAGGATCCCCAGGACTTAAAACCACATCTAGCACATAGTAGGAGCTCAGCTAATACTTAATGAAAGAAGATATAAATAAATGGATGAACAAGAGAAAAAAATCCCAGTTAGAGCTGATATTCTCACATGGATGAATAGAAAATAATCAAGTAAAGCAATAAGTAAAATTTTAAATGTGATAAATGTTAGAAGGAAATAGAATTATGTAAGAGAGAGTAACTGGATGAGACCAAGAAAGGGGAAGATCTATCTGAAAGGTAAGATTTCAACTGAGGGTTGAAAGCTGAGAATGAGCTGAAGAGGCAAAGGAAAACAAGCAACAAGTACAAAGGCCCTGAGGCAGAACAGGGCTTGGTGTGTGCTGCAGGAGCACAAGGAGACCAGGAAGTTTCAAAGTGAGGTAAGGAGAGAGTGGTGTGAGATGAGGCTGTGGTGGGTCATATAGGGCCTTCAAGGCCATGGTAAGGAGTTTGGATTTTATTCTTACACTGAGAAGTTGATGAATAATTTTCAGTCCGAGAGTAACAGGCAAGAGAAGAAGGTGGCTTGCAGAGAAATGGCAGTGCAAGCCGATGGAGGAAAGGTGGACTGGATCATGAAGTGAGGGAAGGGAGGAGGCCAATGTGGTAAATTTGGGTGTGAAAATAGGGTGCAGTGAGTGGTTGAGACGTCTGTGGGACATGCAGGTGGAACTATCGGGAAGGCAGCTGGATGAAGATGCCAAGCAGAGCGCAAGTAGATAGCAAGAAATGGTTGCTGAGGGTCGTTTCCATAAGATGGTGCTGAGCGCCACTGAGGCTGGATGAGGACCTGGGGGAGCATCCATCTGGAGAAGAGTCCCAAGGTCCAAGCTCAACATGGCTCAGATGAGGGGGAGCCAGGAAAGGGGATGTGGGAGCAGCAGCCTGGAAGGAAACCAAGAGGGCGTGTTGTTCCAAGAGGAAAATATTTCATACGGGAGAGAGTACTCAACAGTGCAAAACGTTGCCCAGACCTCAGTGAGATGGGCGTGGACAGGTGTCTACTGATCTAGAACACAGAGTGCACAGCGTCTAGGAATGGTCGGGACGGAGGCCGGCTGGAGGAGGCCAGGCCGTGCCTGAGAGATGAGAAAGTGGGAATAGCTGACTAGTTTTCTATCAAAGGGAATAAAAAGCAATATGGCATAGCTAAAGGGGGGCATGGGTCAAGGTAGGGGTTTGTTTAGTTTTCTGATGGAAGATAGTGGAGCATGTTTGTGTGATGGGAACGACCCATAGCATTTGATAGTGCAGAGGAGGGGACTCTGCAGGGACAAATGATAAAGAAGGTGCTGGGGTGGGGGCGCCTGGGTGGCTTGGTTAAGGGTCTGCCTTCGACTCAGGTCATGATCTCGGGGTGCTGGGGCCGAGTCCCGCGTGGGGCTTCCTGCTCATCGTGGCATCTGCTTCTCCCTCTCCCTCTGCTCTGGGGGATGGAATCCAGAGGACAGATGGAGAAAAATGGAACATAAATATTATATTAAAAGTTTTCCACACCAAGGGAAAACTAGACTAACTCCTGGGGCATTGAACTGGAATTGGAAGTTATCATATATGAACTCATGGTTTTGTGGATATAGACAAAGCTCTCCATATGTGTGTGGGAGATGTACATCTCTCTGTCCATAGAGACATATCTTTATATCAATAGAGCGGTCTGCATACCCAGCCTCAGATCTTGATTTATAAATGCCATTCTCAACCAAAAGGAGTCAGGATGCTGGGAGAAGTGCCTAACTCCAGTGCTGGGACTGAGAGTCCACAGATGAACCTAGAATATGTTCTTCTGCCATAAAGGAAGCTGGTGTTCAAGGAACGATGGGGACATGTCAGGAAGACATGGAAGTCAGCTTGAAGGGACTCCTCAGGCCATATCTAGGACAGTTTGTGCATCAAAAAAAACCCTGAAAGCAACAGATTAAAACCCATTGTGTAAAATTGGATTCTGTGAGTTCACATTGACATAAATAAGTGAATAAGCAAATAGAGACCATTTCTTCTTCACAGTGGATTTTTTCAACTGAATGTAGAAGAAAGGGTCTAGCTAGAAATTCACCATTTGACAAAAGTCATCATCATAATCCAAGCCAAGAATGATCAAAGGATGATAAAACTAATGGATGAAAGTATGACGAGATGTAGGGTATCTACATATCTAAGTCTCTCATAAAATATTAATTAAAGGGGCGCCTGAGTGGCTCAGTCATTAAGCATCTGCCTTCAGCTCAGGTCATGATCCCAGGGTCCTGGGATCGAGCCCCACATGGGGCTCCCTGCTCAGCAGGAAGCCTGCTTCTCCCTCTCCCACTTCTCTCGCTGTCTCTCTGTCAAATAAATAAAAATAAAATCTTAAAAAATATATTAATTAAAAAGAATTAGTAACTTCACAGTGGAGAAACCGGGCAGCCACCAAAAAGATAAATTAAGGAACATTTTGCTAAACAACTGGCCTTTACTCTTTAAAAACATCAAGGTCATGAAAGACAAAGACCTTTACCAGGTTTAAGGAGACCAAAGACGTGACAACTGAATGTGGTCCTTATTTGGATGTTGGACTTGAATTTGTTGTTGTTATAAAGGACACTGTTGACATGAACAATTAGTTAAATATGCATCAAGCCCATATTACTCTCAATTACTTTCAATGATTACTCTCAACCCACTTACTCTCAAATGATTAGGAAAAAATTATATATATATTTAAAGATGATGTATACACATATTTACATATATATACATACATTACAGATATATAATAAAGCAAGTATAGTAAATGTTGACACAGGAACTCAGGTGTGTATGAGAGTCCTATGCACGACTCTTGAAACTTTTCTGTACGTCTCAAGAAATTGCTTCAAAATTGAGAATTGCCCACACACTGCTTCCCCACCATGGCAAGCGGCTCCGGGGAAGGAGGGCGGAACGTGTCCAGGCACTGAGGACAGGTGGACTGGCCACGATGCAGTGGGAATTGTGTGTGAGAGCCACATGGCGGCTGTGAAGTGCAGGGGAGGCTCTGGAGAAGAACCTCCAGAACACGGAAATAAGGCAAAAGGGATGACTGTCCTTTAAATGTCCTAGCAGAGCCTTGTGTAGGGATTCTGATCCCCTAAGGGGATGTCCCAGTGTCCACTCACTAAACTATTGGTTGGGGCCCTGACCCCCCTTAGAGTCAAAAATCCACTCAACTTTTGACTCCCCCAAATCGTACCTACTAGTAGCTTGTTGTTGGCTGGAAGACTCACCAAGAAGCAATTGATGAATACAAATTTTGTCTATTCTATGTATTATATGCTGTGTTCTTACAACAAAGTACACTAGAGAGAAGAAAATCCTAAGGAAGAGAAAATACATTTACAGAACTATGCTGTATTTATTTAAAAAAAAAAAATCCACATATAAGTGGACCCATGCAGTTCAAACCCGTGTTGTTCAAGGGTCAACTGGATATACCACTCTCTTCTCTACTCCATTTATTAAAGAAACCGTTTTTTATTTTTTTTAAGATTTTATTTATTCATTTGAGACACGAGATAGAGCATGAGCAGGGGGAGAGGCAGGCTCTCCGCCGAGCCAGGAGCCCGATGTGGGGACTCGATCCCAGGACTCGGGGATCACAACCTGAGCTGAAGGCAGACGCTTAACCATCTGAGCCACCCAGGTGCCCTAAAGAAACAGTTTAATGAATTAAATCTTTGACATGCCCTCATTTCTACATCTACATGGAAATCTATTTTAACTTTCCAAACATTGCCCTTTGAAACAGTAAAAGATGATTTTCTTAAGGAAGGCAGGAGCGCACACAGAGAAAGCCGTTGCTTTCAGATCAGCACGTGGAATATGCTGGGAAGGCAGGGCGCTGGGCTGCTCACCGAGCTTGTCCACGCTCACTCCTTCTGCAGCCGCTCTCTCCAGCTGGAAAAAGTCATAGTCAAACCTGTTCAAGTCTTCATTGCCTCTCTCTGAAGGAAACCCAATGTAGAGGTAGGCGCTGTTGGATCCCAAGATAATGCGGTCCTAGGGAGGAGACAGGTGGCTCAGGGGAAGAATGGAGGCCAGAGGTGTGGGATCAGCCTGCCCCAGGGGAGGCCAAGGCCCCATGCCCAGTCCGACTGTGTTAAATCACGAGACCTTCACGAGTTCCCCAGACAGGGAAGAGACCCATAAACAGGGAGGAAGAGGTTGGCATCTTGCTTTTGTGTGTATGCTTTCATTTTTTCTTCGGTATCCCACATCGAGCTCTGACTCGGGAATCCCAGTGGGGAACAAACAGACCTGGGCCCTCCCCTCTAGGACTTTATAGACAAATAGTGTAATAGCCTGAGAGAGATGCCTGAATGAAAGGGTGTGCTTCTGCAGAAGGGACGAGGGGCCTAATATGTACTGGGGATCCGAGCAATCCTCTCCCGAGGTGCACTATTTAAGCTAAGACATCAGGGGTGGTAAGTTTCACCAAGGCAGAGAAGACTGCTGCTGAACAGAGCCTGGGATGTTTTGAACAATCAAGAGAAGGTCAGTGTGACCTTCGTGTGGAGCAGTGAGGCTGGAGGAGGCGGAGCGATGGGGCCGCTCACACAGGTGTGGTCACTGAGGATTTCCAGGAGGGCGGGGTCTACCCCAAAGAGCTTGTCTAGAAGGTTCTCTGTGGCTACAGTGTGGGGAATG